TTGCATTGGATGGGGTTGTTAACTACAGGAAAGAGGCGGTCCCTGGAGGGCTGCAGAGCTCCCCGAGGAGGAGGTTTCCCAGGGTCTGCACTCTGTTCAAAAGCCACTGTGCTGCTTGCCATGGAGATGGGCAGGGAGGCCAAGGTGCTGAGAGGTGGCACCGTCTCTTCCAGGCGGAGCCCACGCTGCTCTCCTCGGCCTCCGGAGGCCTACCCTCTGCTCAGCTTTGAACTCGGCTCCTTGGCCCGGCCCCCTAGCCTCGGTTCAGACTCGCTCCGGGAGGGGACCGGCACCTCCTGCTTTGGATACTTCCCGTGGGCAGTACCCACAGCCTCTCTGGGTCTTATTAGCACTTCCTCCAAAGCTGCAGTCTCTAAGCATGAAGGCAAGTTTCTCCCAACCACTTGGATGAAAGTGCTTGCTGGGTGGGGAAATACCACACACTCTCCTTGTCCCCAATTCGCCAATGTTAGATGTTTTCCCAAAGCAAAGGAAAGAGGGGCTGGGGATATAGCTCAGTGGCATAAGCGCCTGCCTGGTAAGTGCAAGGTCCTGAGTTCGATTTCCTATACAATAATAAAAAAAAAAAAATCAGCCTTACCAAAGCAAAGAGTCTCTGCTAGGACTCAGCTGTCTGTGAGCTCAGATAAGCATAGAACAAGCTCTGCTTTCTGAGCTGCCTGAGGCTCAGCTTTCCCAGTGGCTCTAGCCCCACAAAAGCAATGGCCTTTATTCTCTGTCCCTTTTATCTCTATTATCCCATAATTTGTTAAGCAGTGGTGGGGAAGGGGCCCTGGGAATATGCATCTGTGATAACGATGAAACCGTTACTTCTCTTCGATCTGTTTAGAATATCAAACACACTTAGTTTATAGCTGTTTTTAGGTTATTCTGTGATCTCCAGTTCTTGGGGTGTTACTTGTCCTACATATTGCTTCTGCTCACTCTTCATGATAGTTCCTATTCCCATGGGGTGTGTGACCCTCTCAGATAAGTTCATCTTTAAAGGTGGCTTCCCCCGCCCTGCGGAGTTCCTATGCCCTGGATTACTGTAGACTGTCTCTACAGAAAGGTTTGCCATTACTTACCGGGGGGAGGGGGTAGTGTCTGAGTGGGTTACTATCTTGGTCAATTGCTATGTGAATTCTTGGCTTAGGGTTCCTGCAACACACTCGTGCTACAAATTTGGACCCTGGTTCAGGCTGAGGTCAGGGTCTTGTTACTCTTGCTCTCTGGGCCAGCAGAGTGAGCATGTGTGCTTCCCTTTCCTGGATGGTGCTGGCTCTGGCTTTATGCAGAGAGGCACTCAGCTCTAGCTTCCTGCCTCTCCTGAGTCGGGTGGCATCTCTTGTCTGATGTTTCTCACATCCTGCTTTGGCCGTGACTTTGGCTTTATTTCTAGTATGAGGGAGGGAGGTTTGGCTCTGTAGTAACAACTTTTGCTGCTCTATGTTACCCTGCTGTACATGCTGTAGTTAGCCTGCCTTGTGTCTGGCACCAACGTTCTCCCGTTTCTGCTCTATACTGAAGGAAGATGCCCTCGCAGCGCTGGCCAGTGCCCACTAGAGGCCAGCGATGCCCGCTCTGTGCCTGGCTCAGGACGGGTGTGTCCTAGGCTTCTAAAGAGAGCGTGGGCTGTGAAATCCCTGACTTCCTCCAGTCCCATCTTGACCCTCTCCTCAGGCTGGACTTTCCCCAAGCCAAAGAACTCTCTGAATGCCCCAAAGTATCTCTGTGACTTTGGGGACCCTGCAGCTCATTCTCACTTTTAATGCTTTCTCACCCAAATCAGCAACCCCTCAAGATCCTCATGCCCCCTGCTGAGGGGCTGCTGTTTTTACCTGCCATGGGCATTTCAAGAATGAAAACTCCAGCATACAATTGCAGCCAGAGTCCGCATTGTTCAGGCCATGACCGGGGGTCCTGGAGCTGCTGAGAGGTTGGTGCTGGTCCCCTGTGGGGTCCGCTGGAGAGGTAAGAAGGGATGGGAGGCAGCTGCAGAAGCCAACCTAGGGAACCTGGGGCCAGACTGCCCTGGCCCATCCTGTCTGGTGGGTCCCTTTCTCCTTATCACTTCAGGAGAGACTCGGCTCCGTTCCAGACCAGCAGCCTAGAGCAGTGGGCTGGAGAGAAGAGATGCCACCGAGCTGGAGCAGCCCGGCGGTGGAAGGGAGAGTGGGTGATAAATTTAAATAACCAGCTTGACTTGGCAGCTTGCTGAGTTGTGATGCAGTGAAATTAAAATCTCGGCAGAACCTGCAAACACCGCCGAGAAAAATCAGTGTCGCGCTTTGGTTCCATGATAGAAGGGGGCGTGGGAGAGGCTCTGAGGCTGAGCCGTAGCCTCTGGTAGCACCCTTGCTTGCAGTGTGATTAGCTGCGTCCTGGCCCACTGGGCCCCGCTTCCCTCTCCACACAATGGTCCAGGCGCCTCTCTCCTCTCAGTCCTGACCTTGTGGAACAGCTACATCAAGTGGCTGGTGAAGTTTGAAATCAGCCTCCAGTGCCAGGAGGTGGCAGGAATATCAATAAGGTCTAGCTTCCTGGCCAGCTTCCCCAGGACCCACCTGCAGGTGTGCGGCCTCTGCTGCCCGTTCCCAGGGAGGAAGATGGGCTGGGTACCAGCCGCTGGGGGTCCACCCAAGCCATGATGCTACAGAGAGCAACCTCACTGTTCTCTCGCTCTGGCTCCCACCGGCCCACACTTGCCCACCTACCAGGAAAGGCCTCCCTTTTCCTTTCTCCACCAGAGCTCTTGGTATTCTCCAATGAAACTAGCCGCTAAAGCCTCTGGGAAATTTCTACAAACACACCAAGCCTCTCCAGCCTGGAACCCAGCTCTCACAGAGGCCAGCACTGTTCTAGAAGAGCTCGCCCAAAGCCCACCCCTCCTAGCTGTCCTTGCACCCTGCTGGGTGGTACTCACGGGGTCCTTTTCTAGATGGCCTATGAGGACTCTGGGCAGTGCCCCGTTTCTCACCTTGACAGTACCTCCAGCAAATTTGGTTTGTCCCCATAATAAACATGTCATGAATCATTCATCTTTAATAGATTATGCAAATTAGAAGGACATAAAATCAACAAAGATCAATAGCTGCAGCCCTTTAATTGCCAGCAAAAACATTTTAAGAGTGAGCATAATCTGCAGCCCTTTCTCGGGCAACGGCACTATTAATCCAAGCGTTAGGACTTGGCCTAACGGAGGGAAAACGGTTTCTCACCTCCACCCACCGCCCCTCCCCCACCCTTCCGCACACTTCTCTCTTTTTGGTAATTTCCAGTTTCTGAGCGAGTTTCCCCATCATTACCACTGGTGAACAGCTCCGAATGTTAATGGTTCTGCTTTTGTTACTCCTCGCTTGATTGAAATGTCGCATACAGATTGAGATGTTAGTGCTAACTTGCCACCTGGGAATGTCAAGCTGGGTCTGAAATGAACTTTTCTCACACTTGGATCCAGATGGATCAGCCGGAGATGTTCCCAGGCTGAGCTGGGACCGTTCCAGGGCCATGGGGGGGAGGCGGGTGGGGGCTGCTTAAGGTGGAGGCACTTTTCTGCAGCAGCCCCAGTATGCCCTGCGGCAGGAGCCCTCACCCAGAGATCCATACTGCCACCCAGGATGTCCTTGCATGTGGACATGGGCCCAGCACCAGGGAGCACCATGGAATTGGAGAAAAGTCTCCTATGTTCTCTTTCACCAGGTGCCTGGGTAGCACCCCAGGAAGTGACCAGTAGGCCTCTCCACAGATGAGGAGACAGGTGGCCAGGCCTGGTCCATGGGCTCCCAAGTTGGCTGCAGAGGCCCCTGTCCAGGGCCAGCTGATCTAGGCTGTGTCCCCTGCAGAGTCATCGCTTCCCACAGCCCGGTCAGCTCTGTAGCACTTCCAGAACTTAGCCATAGAGTCCCTGCCCAAGGTTGGACCCTACTGTCTGCCACCACCCTCCTCAGGAGGCCCTGGGGAAGCTTACCTGGGGCTCCCTTCACCCCCAGAAGGCTGATGCTTACTCCAAGCCCATCCCAGCCTGGGCCACGCCCAGGTCAGCTCCAGCTCACAGCCAGCCCTGTCCTGCGCCTGCTCCCTGTCTTTGCCACTGGCTGTGTTGCTCGCCTCTGCTCCCTCCGCAGGTAACGCCTCAGCGTCCCCTGGTCCCCACTGAGACCCTTCTCATTCACCTGCCTCTCAAGGAACAACGGCACATTTGCTTTAGTGTCTCCAGAATAATTAGGTGAATTTTAATAACACCTTGATGTGTGTCTCTCCCACTTGGGCCCTCTCTTGGCCCAGAAACTCCTCTGCAATGCCAGGTGCCTTCTGCAGCTTGTAGCTCTGTGACCTGGAGCTCCATTCACAGGCCCTCACTGCATAGCAACTCCAGCTGCCCCTGCAGCTCTGGACCCATGGGAGCTCCTCAGCATCAGGAGCTGCTACGTTGGACCCCAGCTGGCCTTGAAAAAGCCAGCCTTGGTCTCAGTGACTTCTAGTCACAAGAGAAGGCTGCAGCAACTGTGCTCCTCTGACTGCAGAGAGCTGGGTGCCATGCCCTCGAGCCCAAAGCCACCGTCACCTGTGCTGCCTGGAGTGGTGGGAAAGGGGCTGCCCAGAGCCGTGGGGCTGCAGGTGTGTGGAGGGTGGACACTCACCTACTGGCCTACCTGCCCTCTGCTTTCTTGGGCACACATTGTAACTAACGGCTCCAAAGTCTGGGCACCTCAAGGGGGGTAAGCAAAAAGGCAGTGGCCAAGCAGGACAGGAGCCAGAAGCAGCTCCCTAGCTTTCCACCTTTCCCAGGCTGAAGCCCAGACCCTCTGACCACAATATCTTCTTCCCACATCTGTGCACAAAGTACCCTGGTTTTCAAAAGCGCACTCTCAATCGCTCTCTCTCTCTGCAGATATCACGGCAGGCAGGGTGCCCACTTGTCACACTGGGCCTCAGCTGGCACAGCTGAGGTGCCCTGACAGACAGCAGTGACCCCACCCTCCTGGCAGCCCCCTTACCGGTCACGACGGGGTATGTCTGTGTGCCTGACACGTTGCTGCCCAGCTCGGGGTTGGTGGATGCAGACAGACCCGACTTGACTTCATCAAGCCCAGGGGTCAGGGCTGGGAGGGAGTACTCATTCCCCTGTGAGGACGGAGAAAAGAGACAGCTCTCTATTGATGTGCACACAGAGAAAGGGCTTGGTGTGCAGATGGAGAGGAGGAACAGGGATCCCCCAGGCGGGCGGAAGGGGGAGACGGGGAGGCAAAGGCTGCGCAGGGATGGGGCAGACCTGACACGGTGAGGCTGAGGTGCGGTTTACACTCAGCGGGTGGTTTTCCTCGGACGTCTACAGCACCTCCTGCCTAGGCAGCCCCAGGGGGAGCCTAGCACTGGAGCACCCTTGCTGAGAGGTGCTGGGTATGCAGGTGTCCCTGGGATGCGGAGCCTGGGGGCGGGTGGACCATGCCGGGAGGGCAGAGGCAGTCGCTGGGGGAAGGGGCTTGTGGGGCCTCCAGCCTGGCACGGCTGGGCTGGCTGATGGGATATGGGCGCCCCTTTTTAAAAAACAAACAAAGACAGCCCCACGGGCCCCTTGCTCTCTGCCTGTGCACTGGGGTATGAAATTGGGGAGGGGGAGAGTCCACATGGCTAACAGGAGGGTGGGAGGGGGCCGGTCATTGACTCTGAAAGGGTGTCCTGCCCGGAACACTCGGGTAATTGCCTTTTTATTGCAGCCACCGCCAAGCCAGACCCCAGAGCCGGGCCGGCCAGCAGCCGCACAAAGCAGGAAAAGTTGCTCTGATTAATATTACCTTAAATTAAAACTGATTTTCTGCTCTTTCGGGTTTTTTTCCCTTCCGCTTCCTGGCCCCCCCAGAGGACCCCTCCCCTCCCGGGCTGGATGGGATTGCCTCGTCATTTCCAATTCCTTCTCGTATTGATCTTCCTGTAGAAATCAGTTTTGTAATTAGCTGCAAATTAGGCCTTCTACTGGGGGTGAAGCTGCCCCCTGATTTATCACCAGAGTAATTCGCTGTGATCGGAGAGAAATTAAAATGAACTCAATTAGGCTTCGGATTTGCTTTATGGGCCCTGCTCCGAGTTTCAGGGGGAAAAATGACTGTGCTGGTGTTTAATAGTCTAATGAAAGTAAATAAAGGTTATTCATTGTAATACAGCCGGGGACTCGGGAGGGTGCACTGAGCCGCCCGCCTCGGCCAGCTCCTCCTTTGTTGGTTTATGGCTCAGGGCACCTTAAAAAGACTTTTGATTTTTGTTTTATGAAGACAAACAGCTTATGGGATAAAAGGACGGGCGGGGAGCAAGGCGAGTGGCTAGGAGCTGCTGGAGTCTCAGAGCGGAGCTGAGAGCGGGGAGCCCTAGGGGCCTTGCTGGTATGCATGTGTGTACGTACGCATGTGCTGTGCTGCAGCTGCAGCCTGACCTAGGCCATGAGCATGCGAGGGACAGAAGTGTGGGGGGCGCGGGAGCCGCCCTGGTGGTGAGTGAGGGCAGGTCCTGGCGCTGTGCTGGGCTTGGCCGACCTGGGGACCGCACACGCCACCAGCTGCACAGGGAGTGAGTAAGGCTGTGAGTGGGTGGGGGTGGCAGGGCATGCTAGACGTGAAGAGCTGGACACATGTTCCTGCCACGTGTGCATGGGCTGTTCCGGGCTGTGGGAAGTGGGGATGTCAGGATGAGCTGCCAGCCTGCCTGGGTCACACTGATGGCTGGGTGGAAGTACAGGGGGCAGTGGTGGGCAGCCTGTCCTGAGGCTGGGTGAGGGGAGCCCCGCAGACTCACACAGACTTTCTACAGGACCAGCGAACACAGAGGGACACGGCAAGAGGATGCTCCTGAGCAATCCCTGCCAGGACTCACAGAACGGCAGAGCTAGAAGGGACCTGACAGCTTACTTCAAAGGCCTTTGTTGCACAGATGAGAAACTGAGGCTCCGGAAGGCTGAGACTCCTCCTAGGCCACCCCCTTGCCCCGGCACTCACTGCGAATTACCATTACCACAGTGCTTTGTTTAACTGTAGCCTGGTGGCCCTGTGTGAGCACGCGTCCCAGCACCACATGACGCCTGTGTGAACCTGCACCCTGCGGGTGTCCACTGAGTCTGTTCTCGGGGCGCCTCGTCTCCTGGTCCCCCTGCTCTGCCAGAGGAAGCTGCGCCCTCACCTGTTCTGACTTGATGTGCTCTGATGCCTGGAAGACATCAGGGTAAGACGGTCGCTCAAAGACTCGATCCAAAGCTTCTAGCTGCTGCTGGGTGAAGGTGTCAGCTCTCAAGTGCTTCCGCAAACTGTCCACGCCACTCTGGGAGTCTCCATTGGGGACCGAGCCCTCGGACACATCTGGGGAATACAGGGACATGGGGGCATTAGCAGAAGCACGCAGCGTGGACGAGGCGGGGACCTGGCTCTGACCCTGCCTGAACCTCTTCTTCCAGCTGCAGGCCGCCTCAGCGGTCAGGAAGCCAGAGCGCTGGAGGCGCGAGGGGCCGTAAGGAAGGGCCAAGTCTGGGTGCAGGAAGGCCTGGAAGAGGTGGAGCAGCAGGGCTCCCTGAGGCTGCCTCCCAAGGAGCTGTCTCCCAGGGTCACTGCGGCCCAGACTGGGTGAGCGGGGTGGCGAGCCAGGCTCTCAGACCGGCACTACTGAGCCTGTGGGGAACTGAACTTGGCTGTGAGATGAGTTGCAGTTCCACCGATTCCAAGGCTTGAAAATCATCGAGTCTCTGGGGCTGAGTGTAACACAGGGGCTGGGTAATAGCTGTGCCCCGAGGAGGGGGCTCTGAGAGCAAGACTGGCGCCCTCAGAGGGGTCACGTGGGCTGGGGAGCACCCCCACGTGGGCCACTGCGGGGAGCCCCTCTCCCAGAGATCTCTGGCTCGGCCTCCACCCTGAGCCCGCCCCCTGCCCCTGGTCCTGCTGTGGGTTTCCATCAGGAGTTGAGCCCTACTCGGGGAAGGACGGGCCTGGCAGTGCCCTGCTAGTGCCACTCCCTTGGGGCCACAGCCCATCCTGTCTCCAGGTCAGGCTCTGCCCGGCACCCTTCCACTCCGTTACCCGGTTCCCATCTCGAAGTCTCTCAGCCTAAGGGCCCTTGGAGCTTAAGGGGGCAAAGAGCCTGGTGCTGCCTCTCCCTGAGCCCCACCCACAGCTCTTCTGGCCCCAGCCTCAGCCCCAGCTTGTCACCCCTTGTCTCCCCTCAGCCCAGGACTGGCTGGGGGGCTGTGGGCCTGGGGCCGGCCCATGCGGCAGGCCTGGTGCTCCTCTGGGACTGTTATATATATCAGTTTATAGGTGATTATACGATATGATATAATCAATATTGCATTATATACAGTAGCACCGTACAGTATCATTTGGGAGGCCGTAGAAAATATTACATATTGATTACCTCATCCTGCAGCCATCTACCCTTGGGGCCTCCTGGGTGGAGCCCAGGGCTCTGCTTCCCAAGAACCCTGCTTCCCCTCCACAGGGGCGGTGGGGGCTGGGAGGCAGGCAAGGGTGTGGGCAGGGTCGAGTCTGAGTGCTGGAGGGCCTGATGCAGCTCAGCCGTGAGCACCTGCCCAGCAAGCATGAGGCCCTGAGTTTGATTCCCAGTACCAAAAAAAGTCAGAGAGGTAGCTCAGTGGAAGTCCTGTGTTCCTCTGGACACAAAACCTGGTGGCTGTGTTTTTCAGTGTAAGGTTCTGGAATATGTTTTGGGTTTAGAGGGTGCAGGCACCCCTGTGTGTGAGGTTCCTGAGTGTGAAGGCCCTGAGTGTGAGGGCCCTGAGTGTGAGGTCCCTGTGTGTGAGAGCCCTGTGTGTGAGGGCCCTGTGTGTGAGGTTCCTGTGTGTGAGGGCTCTGTGTGTGAGGTTCCTGAGTGTGAGGGCCCTGAGTGTGAGGTTCCTGAGTGTGAGGGTCCTGTGTGTGAGGGTCCTGAGTGTGAGAGCCCTGTGTGTGAGGGCTCTGTGTGTGAGGTTCCTGAGTGTGAGGGTCCTGTGTGTGAGGGTCCTGAGTGTGAGGGCCCTGTGTGTGAGGTCCCCGTGTGTGAGGTTCCCGTGTGTGAGGGCCCTGTGTGTGAGGTTCCTGAGTGTGAGGTTCCTGTGTGTGAGGGCCCTGTGTGTGAGGTCCCCGTGTGTGAGGTTCCTGAGTGTGAGGGCCCTGTGTGTGAGGTCCCCGTGTGTGAGGTTCCTGAGTGTGAGGGCCCTGTGTGTGAGGTTCCTGAGTGTGAGGGCCCTGAGTGTGAGGTCCCTCAGTGTGAGGTTCCTGTGTGTGAGATCCCTGTATGTGAGGGCCCTGAGTGTGAGGGCCCTGAGTGTGAGGGCCCTGTGTGTGAGGTTCCTGAGTGTGAGGTTCCTGAGTGTGAGGTCCCTGTGTGTGAGGTCCCTGTGTGTGAGGTCCCTGTGTGTGAGGGCCCTGTGTGTGAGGCCCCTGAGTGTGAGGGCCCTGTGTGTGAGGGCCCTGATTGTGAGGGCCCTGATTGTGAGGTCCCTGTGTGTGAGGGCCCTGAGTGTGAGGTTCCTGTGTGTGAG